CATGATTAGTTAGTTTTAATCTTTCACAATTCGCAATTCACTTTCACTTTCATAATTCACTATTAATCCGATTTGGATGATAGTCGACACCACAAAAAAAATTATGCACATCTTGAGGTGTATAATTATTCACAAATACTCTAAATTATCATGACCATGACTGCGTATATAAGGAAGTAATGTTGTGGATTAATTGTGCAGAACTGTAAGGTTGGTAACATTTAGAACAACCGAAATGTAAAGCCAATTACATTGTTGTCACACTTTTTTGTCCATAGAAAAATTTGTAAAATGGTTCAGGCACGCAAAACGGCAATTCGGCATTGAAACGGGCAAACCGGCAAAAAGGCATGAACTTTTTCCCAAAAAGGCGCCTTTTTGCATACTCTGCTTATTTCATGTACAGACGAGACCACTAAGCTATTAAAACATTGTAGGGTCAAGTTTCAATAATTTTCGTCATTACACTATCTGTAAATCGGTAAAAATAGATAACGAGGCTTGTGAAGCTCTCGAAAACCGTAAGGTGTGTTCCGTTCTTTCCCCGACGATGGTATTAAGTGATATTTAGACATTTAACGCAGATGAAAAAAATTTGATTAAATATAATTAATTTTCAATATCAATTTGAGTTAAATGAGCACCAGAAAATGGAGTCAATTAAAACCCTTTCTGATACATTCACCCATTGAACCACAATGTTTCGCTTCATATTAATTCTACTTTCCAGGCAGTTGGTACTTCACTAATTTACTATCATGCAGCGTGCATATTGGTTCCAAACTGATTCGTTTTTCATGAACTCTTTGGAACTTTTATAGTAATCTTGACCTCCATACCATATCACATGACCCCATCAAAATGCATGCTCGAATGGGTTACGTTGCATGGCTACCGTAATTGTGCATTAATTATATTAAATTTGCATTCCTTTTAGTCTTTAAAAATATTTTGCGAATATCAATTAATAAATTTAAAAAACAAAACAATTCAATTTTTCAGATTTGGTGAAATTCGATAATTTAAGGGAAATGAGTTGTTGGTATATGGAGCCTTGGCATGTGTTGGCATATGCCAATATTGGCATATACCTCCATGTTGGGAAAATGGGGCTCTTCGCGAAATTTGAGAATTTGGAGAAATTTGAAATTTGGTGAAATTTGACATTTTTTGCGAAATTTGAGAATTTGGAGAAATTTGAAATTTGGTGAAATTTGACATTTTTTGCGAAATTTGAGATTTTGGGGAACTTTAGGATTTTGGTTGCGGGCGGCGGCGGCTATCCTGCATTTTTGTCGGCGGCACTTGTCTTGCACGTAGGCGGCGGCCAAATTGCAGCACATAGGAGGACCGATTTTAGAGAATACATTGGAACTGAGAGAATGAGGCCACTATGGCTCAAACTTTCAGGACGGTTTTCATAAACTAAATTTGAATGAAAAATTACAAGAATTATAACACGACCCCAAACAAGTTATGAATTACTGAAGACCGACCAAACTGAGGTTAATAACAAAACCTGTTACATTTGACCTTTGCATCGTCCTGGGATCCAAGTGACCATTACAACTCTTTAACAACATAAGTACACACAACGTCTTGCAGATTGATTTAAGGTATTGAAAAACCACATAGCCTTTAAAGAAGGACCGTTGTAGAAGTCTACTTAAGATGAGATTGTTACTACCACCGCACCGGTTGTTTGTCGGATAGTAGCAAAATGATATGGCTCCAATGGGAAATAAAAATGACTAATGTTACATATATTCGATATAAATTAAGTAAAATTTGTTTTCACTTTCACATCTTTGCAGCTTTTGTCAAAATTTGTTGGTATTAATCTCCATCCTTCCTGCATGATCCTTCATTAAATAAACAAAACCCACACGCACACTTTAATGCAAATATATAATGCAATATCTAAAATAAATGTCCTGCCAAAGGTGAATATTTTCCTGAAGTTGAACTTGAAGTTGTAATCGAGAATTCAGCGAAGGCCCCCACGTAATAACAGTATCATCGGCAGCAACCATGATACTAAAAGATTAAAAAATGAGAGATTTTATTATCATACTTCTAGCTGAGTGTAGTTATACAGATAATCAAACCTCTTATTCGCACAAGCAATCTGTTCTACATTCCAGCCTGATAAATCCTGCACGGGTTTAAGAAATCGTTTCTACCCGCCTAAAACTGCCTCGAAATTTCAAGAAAAACTGTTCAAATGTACTAGGTCTGACAAAATTGATCGGTGGATTCTACCACGTTCCTGGTGCCGCATATCTTTTCTACAATCAAAGTACAACTCGTCATGCCGTGCTTATCTCAACCCAATGGAAAATATTTTTTGAATTACGCATCTTAACCCTTCTTTCAAAAAATTACAGTTTTCAAGAGGGATAAATTCATCAAGTAATATTTATTTCGAATTTATTTAAATAAATGTACACTTAAACACGCGTACTTTTAAAGACCAAAGTAACAAATGTCATATGAAGTGCTTCATTCTTTTTGCATTATCTGATAAAATAATCTTATCAGTTGCAACTAGGAGCGCAATGAATGCCGAGACGCACCCCACAATTGATCGTACTTTAAAATCCCTGCAGGCCCTCGTGGGCAGGCCTCACTATATCCTTGACAGCCTATCCGATATCAACGAAATGTTCCTCGTAGCTAATCTCCTTCACGATTGCGGTAAGCGTTTGCAATTAATTTAACATTGATATAAATTGTGTTACTTTTGCGCGAAAACCAACTGAAAGCCGTCCTCAATTAAATTCGTCGATGCATGAAACTCATAATTCTTACATTGAAACTGGCCATATTTCAGTCAGAATAACAGTACGCTAAATTACCATGCGTAGAAATCTCAAACTCTTAAAATCGTTCTATTCCCTGTTTCTCATCATTCTGGAATTTAAGTCCTCTTCTTTCTATCACTTAAAGGGCAATATGTAGCAAAACTGTTCCAGAAATATGCCCTCCTAATTATCCACTAATGCATACATTGTCCTCGTTCTTTTTATGTTCGCCTGGCTTGAACCTAGCTGAAGACCCAAGTCATGAACAGGGTTCGGAAAACCCCGGGGTTTTTGTAGAAAAACCCAACCCCGGGGGTTTTTGGGGTTTTTGTGGGTTTTTGGGTTTTTGTGGGTTTTTGTGGGTTTTTGTAGATTTTGGGGCAGGTTGAACCAGAATTCCTAAAATTATATATTAGAGATAAACTAATTTAGTGAACAATTTTAACATGCAATTTTAACCGTTATCATTGATTTGGACTTTTACATCGAAAATTCATGTTTGACATGTAAACCTGGAAATATGTAATGATATTTGGCAAGTCGCAAATGAAAATTCTCAAAATTTCAAGATGAAGCAGAAAAGTTAATTAGCATTGATCTACGTTGTAGTTTAAGGGATTTTGTTTCAATCTGCCTCAAACTCCTACAAAAACCCCGGAAAACCCCACAAAAACCCACAAAAACCCGCAAAAACCCCATTAAGCATTAGGGTTTTTCCGGAGATTTGATACCCCAAAAACCCACAAAAACCCCAAAGACCCCAACCCACAAAAACCCGGGGTAGCGAACCCTGGTCATGAACTAAATCACTATTGCTGGAAACACGAGAGGTTCCTGGTTGAGAATTCATCATGTCGAAAGGATGTAACCTACATACCTGGAGGAAATACTTTGCTCAGTATGACTATGTATGTACAATGGAAGAAAAATAATTAAAGCATTATTTCAAAGCTCACTTATTCATTACAAAAAATATTGAGTTTTAACCCTAACAATCACCCCAAGTACTACAGCAATCGGTGCTTTACCCTTTGTAAACTGAAATTCCTAACATATTATGTGTCTTCTTATGTGATGGAAACTAACAGTAAGAAACTTAAACAAAGATGTAATTACTTTTTCAGCAGTCCAAATTCCGTTGCCAAGGCTACATCCATCACGGACGTTCTTTGTTTTGTTTTCGGACGAAATGAATAGACAGAATAATAACCTATCCCTTAATAATATTTAAGCAGCATAAACTATCATTCATTTGCAGTTTCATTTCGTCTCATCTTCGTAACTGATATAAAACATATTAGCCGTCAAGAAACGGAATTATAAACGTGATCGTTTACCTCTTTTCAAATATATTACGTCACATTAGAGAGAATTACTTGGACAATTTTTCTTGTAAGTAATATGCAATTTAAAATCGTATAACCCACAACGAAAGTACAATTGTCGCTACGAGGGTACTTTTTGACAAATAATTTCAATTTGACGGATGTCAAATTACTGTCAAACTGGGAAGGACAATATTCGCCAAAAGTATTCAAGATCAAGAAAAATGAAATTGAGATACATGTTTAAATTTGAAAAGTACTAAACAATTCCTCCTTCCCTTGAACGTATATAATTAGGGTCTAGAAAGTTTATACACACGTATGTCCATACATTCTAAATAGAAAAAATAAATTTGGTCAAAATTTTTTCCAGATTAACTAAAATTTTAGACGACACAACTGATTTACCTTCTGAAACTTAAATTCTATCCAACGTGGTAAAATTTTCGTGAAACCCTGCGTTGATTTTACGTTCGTGGGGTAAACGATATATGTATTTATAACCTGTTGTGTCATCGTGGATTGTACTCAATTTTACTAACAATGGAGGTCTCCCAACGTATGCTTCCAGATTTTGACCAAACTAGCGTCAATCGATCACAAATATATTTAGTATGAAATTTGCAAATGGAACTATCTGCCAATGCGCAGGTTTGGCGGAGATATTAGCATTCAAAGCAGAAACAATGCACAGGAAATTTGGAAAATGAAAAATATGCCAGCCTTTTGGTGCGTTTTCTCCTCTTTTTTTGCAAATATCTCCGCCAAACCTGCGCATTGGCAGATAGTTCCATTTGCAAATTTCATACTAATTATATTTGTGATCGATTGACGCTAGTTTGGTCCAAATCTGGAAGCATACGTTGGGAGACCTCCATTGTTAGTGCGTATTATAACACTTTTTAAGATTTTCTAAAATATCGTCAAGTTAAACTTGCAACAATTAAGAATAAAATTTTGTGGAAGATGGAACTTCAGAAATAAATAGTGCCCTTTTATGGCAACTTCGCCACAGATATTCACGTCAAATTGATTTTTTGTTTTAAAATATTAGCAATAAATACATCTGTAAATAAATAAATGTAATTAGTTTGGCGAGTTGTTAGTCTGACTTAAACGTGAAGTCGAAAATTATGGACCTCAGAAATGCAAACAATTTAAATAATACGGTGCTCATGCTTAATTTGTACGTATGTACATATGTTCATACATAAATACGTGTGCAGTTTATGTATGTATTGGTAAGTATGGAGTATGTAGATTAGGTGAAAATGATGTGGAAATAGACGACGAGAATTTACTTATTGTTGAAGTTACTCGATAATGTGTGGGGTTTGCAGGTCACTAATCCAGACGAGGGTGCTTCAGAGATGATGATGACGAAAAGAGTGATGACGTCGTTCCTCCAAAGGGGTGCAAATTGATATTGGGGGTGACGGGTCCATTAAATCTGTGGTAATATAAATTATCATTAACTTTCATGGAAATAAAATCCAGTGATTGTTGAATAAAAACGGCGATTATTTTTCGAAGTTGTGTAATTCTAAATTAAGTAAGTAAATATTTACTTAAAAACTATAAAAGCTTAAAATTTTTAACTTCTTTCTGCAGAATTTTGGAGCAAGTGTCAAAAAATTGAGAAATAATGAGATTCATTTTCAGAAAGGAATATTTCACTTGCTTACCACTGTTTTCTAAATTTGACTCCATTTTTGCCACGTGGTGGAAATTTTGTGGGCGAAAACAATGCCATGAATTGGGTGATTTTCTGTAATGCAAAAAGAAATAATTTATGTGTGCATATGTTAGTCGAAGTCATAATGCGATTTTTAAAAATCAAAATAATTTACATAAAACTAATTGAATTCAAATATTTAAATTAGTCTAATATTTATTAATTTTTAATTTTTAATTAGAAATCAATTGAATGTTTAGATTTTCATTTGAATATACATATGCAAATGAATAAACAACATGAATAAATTTTCGGATTCGGCAAAAGAAATATAAAAGTTTCATCAGATTTGTAAAAACCTTTAAAATTAAGAGCTCGCAGATCCTGGAATTACTTATTCATCATCATTTTTCTTTCCAATGGCTAAGTTCGTACTTTGCATTTGACAAAATCCGTACCTACTTTTGGGGATTGTGCAGAAAGAATGTGATAGATTTGAAGGGAGGTCAAGTCATCATATCCATTCCATGTTAATTAAAACATGGGCGTATATGTAAATATAAATATGTAGGTCACACCTGGTGGACAGTATGTAGTCAAAAATTTCCCACAAATTGATCACATTCTTTATGTACGGCCCTTTGTGATGTTATATTGAATCAAGTGCAAGTGTACTCACGCAGAAAAGAAAGAAAGAAAACGTTCTCGTCCGTATTTAACAGAGGACAAGAAGGAGATCATAAAGTGAAACGTGATCTACTGCTGACAAATTCTTGGTAAATATTCCGAGTCAAATTCCATGCATTAATGGAGCCCATGGAATGAAACTATTTCATAAACAATTCCATGATCTGTGTGACTTATTTTTATCCTTAGCTGTAATATTTGCACTTTTAAATGCCATGATGCAACTAAAACCCTAAAATTTTGTCAATTCTGTAAAATGAAAAATTTTGTCCTTTAGAATATTATTTATGATTTCAGCACAATTAAGCGACCCTTGAAAATGAAAATAAAAATTACATGGAAAAAAGTCAAAAATCATGCAATAATTTTCTAAAAATTTCAGAAACATTCGAAAGTCAAGAATAAAAATTAGAGAACTTTTGATGAAACCCGTTTTTAAAAATATAGACCCGTCTTCGTGTTAAAAATCGGAGACGATGCGATTTTTCAAATGAGTCAAATCCAAATTCGGGTTTTAATTTGTGGCTCCCTTTATAGCATAAATTTTCACAATATTTTTCAAAATTTCACACCCAAATAAAATATTTAATCGCCAAGCAGTAAATGAAATTGTATTACTCACCCCTTTTTCTGACGAATTAATACGGTAGTTATTGTCTCCGAATGCCAATTTGGATTTAAAATTGTCCAGCTAATCGTTCAGTTTCCTTATTTAACTTACATATTTAGCCACAAAGGTGGATGAAATTATTAGAATTTTTATAACTGAGTTTTCCTCAGAGACTCCTTAGTTAAAGATGTTTGTTCGAGATGTTATCAGCAGCGGGTTCATCTGTCAACTTGGAAGATGAAGTCGGATTGGGAATGAAATGACTCACTTCAAATGACAGACTACGCCCCGTCGTATCTACATTTAAGCAGAGGCACAAAGTAATTCGAGATGTATGCATATTCACAACGCAAAAAGCAAACCACCCTTTCTGAGAATTACATATGTGACAAATTAAACTCCAGACATCAGATCAAAAACGTTTGCGGGTTACGACTTAAATACGTGCACACTCTTAAAAATATTTGTTTAAAATGTTCCCCATTTGAAAAGCTAATGCGCTTTTACATAATTCTGCATCATTCGGTACATTGTTAAAAATCTGATAGAATCACATAAATACTCCGTGCTTGTTTTAATTTGGTAATCTCCTACCCGATTGGTATTAATTTGTTCCTGAGTGGAAGGGTTCTCATGACCACAACATTACTGAACGGTAATTCCCGTAATTACCGTGCCGATAGAGTCACATACATACACTCAAAACTAAAATTGGTAAAATCAACACCGCCGGTGTCAATATATGACTTAACCGCCTTGGTTAAAATGTTTAATCCGAGTTATGATGATTTTGATACGGGTAGTTATAATGTTATGACCGGACGGAAAAATTTCATTACTACTCGGAATCACAATTGTAACCAATGCGGTTAAGTCATATTTATTTATTTATTTATTATATTTCAATGAGGCACCCCATTACTGGGACCTTACACCTCAAGGATATATATATTGATACCGGCAGTGTTCATTTTATAAATTTTTGTTTTGAGTGTACACACATACATGCATACATATGTACTCCGGTCAGTAATGTTTTAATACCATAGTTTTCTAAGAGTGTAGATTTATTTAAGTATGTACATACAGTATAGGCAGAAAGTCATTATACCCTCATACTTTGTGTACATAAAGCCTCATATTTTTTGAGAAGCTTGAGAGGATGAACTGCAATTTTGCATAATTACTTACTATGATGTAAGGTTTCCGAAACCATACTTTCGATAACGGCGTGGCACAAGCAACGACACGGTGAAATTATATCCAAAATTCCGAGAGGAAAAAAGTCTTTATACCCCGATTAAATTTTCATGAAAAACTTGTTCAAAGTCTTCTGTGTTAAATAACAGTCAAATTGGTATCTGGGATGCTGACCCCAATCCTTTGGGAAGGCAAGGACACAACTTCGAATCTACCCAATAAATGGGATGGTGAAAGAAGTGTCTAAATTCTCCAATTCAAGCTACTTGGCGTCGACAAGGCTTTGAAGTTTGATGGCGTGTGCTGAGAAATTTTGAGCTTCGCCATTGACCATAAACGTGCATTAACATGCTGTCCGATGCTTATGGATGGCAATTCAACCATTCAATCTCCTTTGTTGTAAACCAAATCTTCAATAATTTTGATGTGTGCTTAGGATCGCCTTACTATTTGGAAATATAATTATTTCCTAACGGTTATTTCCTCCTGTTGCCATCAAATTCCAACCCAGAACGTCGTAGTAGTTGGAGTACATTATTACTTCGATTGTATTAAGGTTTCGGACTCCCTTCCACAAATTCACGCCCAAACAATTCGATTTCCAGCCTCATCCTTAATGCATAGCGTACAGTAGTTGGTTTTATCAGCGTCACTTTGCTAAATCCATATTCCACTGGTCCCAATTTGAACCAAACAGGTTGACATTGACGTCGCCGTACAATATCAGGAGTTTCGAACATTTAACCGTCTAATTGGGATACTGTTTAGGTCATTTAGATGTGTTTGCAATATAAGCATCGCGGTGAAATGGATTTATCCATGTTGCTGGCTATTCAAATCCAGAATAAGTGATCCTATTCTTTAGAATTCGCACAGAAACTCGAAGATTATATTCTTCCCTTGTTTCCAAGTTGATTTTTGGTGAAGATTGCCATAAAGTCTTTGGCTTTTGGAGAATTTGCCGTTATCCGTCCATGGCGTTGTGATCCATGTCCATGAAAAAGCTGTTAAGTTCTATACTATCCCAAAGTTTTTGCAGTTCTGGACTATTCTGGCAACTGTACCATCCATAATGGTTAGCTACTCGGAAATTCTTTGGTGTGAAAGCCTTTCATCATCAAAATCTACGACTTTTCGTCTCATGGCGCGGCTAAGGGGTTTTTTGGTGATTATGAGCTAATATTGATCACAGAAAACTAGTTAAGCATTAGACAAATGTTATTTTGCAATGAATAACGAATAATTTGGTGCGTGAAGAACGATTTAAGAGGATATTTTTAAAGATTACATTAAAAGTACCTAAAAATCAGAGGGTATAAAGACTTCTTTCCCGACGGAATTTTGGATATAATTCCACCGTGTCGTTGCTTGTGCCACTGCGTTATCCAAAGTATGGTTCCGGAAACCTTGCATCATAGTACGTAATTGTGCAAAATCGCAGTTCATCCTCTCAAGCTTCTCGAACAATATGAGGCTTTATGTACAAAAAGTATGAGGGTATAATGACTTTCTGCCTATACTGTAGATGCATATTTATAATTCTTATTTCGTTGGCAGATTAGAGAACGGGGAGAAAAAGGTTGACAATGTTTTTAAGATGGGCAACGGATTTTTCAGGTCTTTGTGAGAACGATGCAGTGAAATAATGCATAAGCGTGAAACTCAACAACTCCAAGAATCTTGTGGTTGGTTGAAATGAATTTGGTCAGAATCGGAGATAATGCATACGCTGGAAGAAAATGAGGATCTCAAAATGCCTCAAGTTCCAACGGATCATCTCACAAGATACACTAATTTAAGGGTGATAAATATGGTACAAAATATGTTGCTGCGCAATTATTCTCTGATTTGTCACCTCATTTTGGTCCTGATTGTCCGGAAATGGGGAATATTTACATACTCTCCATTCACACACACTACTGTCTGGTACGTTTGCAGAGATTGTGAATTTTGAGAAACTACGCCACGTCCGTCCCCAGTCAGCATAATTTTTGGAAATTTGAGACTTGTAGTTTCACAGAATTCTCAATTTCTGTAAAATTTAAATCGTATGTATCCAACCTTATCAAGCATTATGCTAATAAAACTAACCGAAACGAAATTACGATACAGGGAGAAAATATTTATTCTGGTTTGACACTCGAAATTTACGTGTAGAGTAATACATAATTTATGTATGTATGCATGTACATACATATCGGGCAAATTAATATACGGACATGCATTTTATTTAGGGCAAACAAATTCATTCGTGTGTTAATTAGTACATGCACATTGCTGACTTGGAAATACATAATTAATCCTTATAATCCCTAAATATTATATGTATTTTTACTGGTAATTTTATCACTTTCTTTCTTGCATCAACGCTTATTCGCGCAAGCAGTTGAACAATAATACTTGGTCCCGCTGATAAAATGCTTCTTGAGTTTACGCCCGCACGCGTTGCATTTGAAGCAATCGTGATGAAAAACTTTTCTATCGGTGGTCCTTAAAAACTGAAAAAAATTAAGGGATGAAAAACAAATTTAAATAAACCGCTACAACAAAATGAAATTCAATATTGCCCCAACCGCACATATCTCACTTAACTTAATATAATTATGTATTCTCTTTTCTCACCTTGTCTTTACAAGCTTTGTTACATTTTCCACACCTGGGTGAGAAACGCTCCTGGTAATCTTTATCACAATAGAATTCTCCATCCTTCTCCATGTAACCGTCCAATTTACGGTGGCATACTTTGCATGTAAAGCATTTAAAATGGTACAACTTGTCACCCACGTGGACATACTGCAAATGTAAAAAAGTTAACAAACCGAAATTATCACATTGGATGTTTCATTTGACTAAATTGCATATGCATTCAGAAGGAAGACGATTACTTTGGCGAACACTGTCATGGCGAAAAACTTTAGGGATAAAATAATCTTAAATTAATGTATTTTAGATTTTAGTGATTTGACGTGAATAAATGTGAAACTTGTTTGTCACCAAATTTAATTTTAGAATTTTCGCCAAACGTGTCATTACAGATAATCTCCACACGTGGCATGATATGTTTTACCACGTTAATATTCGCCAATTTAACCCTTTGCCAAAGTGACCGTGAATCCTTCAAATGATATTCGTAAATATTTATTTGGCTTTATTACCTCTTCATCTAAAGGCTTGCTACATTTACTGCAAATTTCTGAGAAGAGTTGCAAGTAATCTTTTTTGCAGTAAAAATTGCCATCATCCTCATAAAGACTTCCGGATCTTAGCTCTGTCCCACATTTCGCACACTGTAAGCATTTCGGGTGAAATACTAAATCTCCAACGGTGACGAACTGTATAAAATTGAATTTCATGTTTAAAATCTCTTATCTAATTAATCTCAATAATTAATCTCAGACTCTAAATAATTTAGTGACAAATATCATCCGTAGGTTACATAGTGTTCCGTTTTTGGGTAACTTGATTAAGGAAGCGTTTTGTCACCTAATTTAAGGAAATAAAAAATTTACATATGTAATAACTAGGGGGAAATGGTTATTTAAAAAACTCATGTGTGCTTCTCATGCGAACTATTCATACGTAATTCATTTAAAAGAATTTGTATTCGGATAATAAAAATGTAAAATTTTAAAAGAAAAAAAAAACAATGTCTGTGCTTATGTGATACATGGGGCAAGTAAGAAATGAAGTCGGATGAAGTAAAATGAAATGAGTTTACATGAAAATGTCTGAATGTGAATGAAAATCTTCAGTCAGAAATCCGAATCACTGACTTTTGAATGAAAACTAAACTTTTGAACAGGTATAGCCTTTCCCTTTTTGGTTTGACTTTTTGACCTATTTTCCCTGTTATGATGAAACATCTCTTTAAATATTACTCAAAAGTACGGCACTATTAGACATCTGCGGGTGACAATTTTTCTCCAAATCATTTAGAGTGTATACATACGTAAATATTTTCATAGAATTTGGAACGTCCTTACTTTCTCCTTAATGAATACTCCACACTTTTCGCATTTTTCCGTAATGCTGCCCGAAGGTCCAAAATAGCAGAGGAAATCCTTCTGGTTCGAACTAGGCGGTTGATTTTTAATACTGTTTACGGAAAGTTTCCCACCAGTCTCAAACTCAAAATTTTCCTCTTCAAAATTAAACACGGCGGACGACTCCATCGCAAAATTTATGCTTTTTAGAGAAGACTTGCTTTCACTGATGGTCGAAAAGGTTTCTCCAAATTCAGAAAATTTTGACGTGGAAGTTGTCGAACCCTGGAAGAATTTATGTTATTTAAATATACTTAAAGCAATATTAACGACACAATTAGATTTTACGGGTCAATCATTAAATTTTTTATGTAAGTTCACTCTTAAAAATAATGTCATTTTTTTAAATGCGAATGCAATGTAGATAAATTCAGAATTTAATACACTTTGCTTAGTTCAGAGTAAACTTTACTAATTATCAAGTTAATGTTACTTTGGATTTATGTAGTATCGTTTACTTAACATAAAATTAAGAGTGCATTCACTTTTCCAAACAGTAACATTATTTTTAAGAGTGTATTTAATATTAAAATTTTTCTACTGCGTATGTACATACGTAATTATGAATGGGTCACGATATAGCCATTTTTGGATACATTTGTGGCCATGTAATGATCGAAAGATACACTTACAATAAGCAATTAATCACGTAATCGAAAGTACATAAATTGGCTCTGAATTCTAGGTGACGTTAGCGTTGGTACACTCTAAACAAAAATTAGTAAAATTTCCACATTAAAAAATAGGATGGCACAACCAAAAGACAAGATTTACTCAACGTTGTACAAATTTTACTCAATTTTGGACAAATGTATCACAAACGTTGGATAAATTGTATATAATTTTTGATTTTGTCATTCTCATTTTTTTTTACTTAACATGGAGTTAATTTTACTTATTTTTATTTAGGTTTTGCTAAATCGTAAGGAACGATAACTTGATGAGAGTTAAGTCTAGTCTGGATTTAGTACCGTTTACCAATATTTAATTCAGAGTGTATGTATTTACCTTTCAAAAAGTTGACAAAGTTATTTTTAATAGTGCATTGAAAAAATTATCTGCTGAACGTACCCCATATCCGCTCGTTGCCGTGGTCATGACGGACGAGGTGGAGCAAGAACTCGCATTTCTCGTGGCCGGTTTGGATGATAACCCACTCGAAGAATTCCGTGATAAGGACGACGACAATTCTCTCCTCTTGTACATGTTATTCCTTCAATTACAAAATTACAAAAATAAAATACTCGCAATCACAGTGCGCTAAAATTGGCGAGAGATTAATAATTACATATATCTCCGAGTCCAGCTTCCTGCCTTAAAATAAATAGTTTACGAAGAAAAATAATATGCGAAGATTACGAAGAAATAATATGTATGTATACGAAGATTACTAAGAAATAAAATAAAATTATGCAAAATAATATGCAAAGATTACAAAGAAATAATGATTAGGTATTTACCCTTCGTGTTTCTCTTCTTCTTGATAAGAATTTCCAACTAACTTTTAATTTCTACATACCAACCGAATCTGTTTTTTGGTTGTGGTCATGTCACTCACTAGACGATGAGTGCTCTTGAATTTGGTGAGAGATGCAGGTGCGGCATCGAAATGTCTGAATATTTTGCATTTTTATGTAACTGCCCACCTTCACATGACCAACTTTGCCTGCTGCCCACCCACACACATTTCCTCACCCGTCCTGTTGTCTTTTCATGAACAAGTCAAGCGTTAACAGAGGCTGTGCAGCAAGCATGTGGTCGTTTTGATGTCAGGGTTTGTGTCAAGGAATCCTATCCTTCCCATGTTAATTATAACATGGGGCGTATCCTTCGCACAATTGGTCAAGATTGTCCTAGAATCGATCACATTCTTTACGTACGGCCCCACACCGGACTGACTCAAGCATTAGTTACATAAATGGTGTGGAGTGGGATGAATGCATGACTGATATGATTCATAAATATTTATTCATATCCATGCAGCACGATTTGGCACACTCTTAAAAATAATGTGACTATTTTAACACTTACAAGGGACACTCACGACCTGTCGTTTGAGTCCAGGGTACCCACTATGTTTTTTAGAATCTACTAGGACCCCAGATGAAGGATTCATTCATATTTCCGTGTAAAACTCATATTTGGCGACGTGGCGTGGCGCCAAATTCGCCAAAATTGAATGTTTTTATTTTTGAAATCCTGGACGGATTTTCAAAATTTTTGGCAAAAATCATGACAAAGAGTTCAACTTTCTTATTCCATGAAATTTTTTCTAAAGATTTCATGGAATTATTTATTTTTTTTTATTCTTTTTTTTCTTTTTTTCTTTTTATTCTTTTGTCAAAAATTTCGACTTTTGTGATCATTTTAAGCATAAAATTTTGAAAATCCGACATAAAATGCAAAAGTTATGGGGGTTTGAAGTTGGTCGAAAATGCAAATTTTTAAGTTTGGCGCCACGCCATGGCGCCAAATATGAATTTTACACGGAAATATGAATGAATCCTTCATCTGGGGTCCTAGTAGATTCTAAAAAAACATAGTGGGTACCCTGGACTCAAACGACAGGTCGTGAGTGTCCCTTGTTAGATATGTAAATGCACTCTGAACTCTATATTAAGTAAATTACACTTAGGATTAATCCAGAGTAACGTAAACTTTACAAAGAGTAAATTTTGCTCTGAATTTGGTACAGTTTAATTAATATAAATTTGAAAGTGTATTTAATTTTCGCAATGGCAACATTATTTTTTAAGAGTGTACACATATTTTTTCCGCTTACCTTTGGTTTTGTCAAAAATACGTAATAAAATCACAATAAGCACATCAATTTGGTACAGTTTCTTTGTTATTTTTTAGATCCATTCATGGCTCCAGGATTTTCATATTTGGTATGAAATGGGTTGGAACATCACATACTTTTTTCACTAACATAATTTATCGGCTTTGTTGATATAAATATTTTACACGACATTACATATTTACAGGCAAACTGTGGAGAATCATAGTTCACATTATCATACTTAGTTAAATAATTAAAAGTTTGCATTATTCATGGTAGTTTTTTTCATGGTGAGTGGATGATTGAGTGGGATTCAAAACCATGTAATGCACACACACCAGCCTAACGTATGTACAATGGAGAGGACAAGTAAAGAAAAAACATAATTTAATGACAACTAAACAGATAAGTAATTGCTTACTCTGTGGGAACGTTCATAAATTACGTGACGAAAAAGTGCCGAATTTTCAGACCCGCATTACACCCCCTTTTCAAATTTGTCTGCAGTTCGGCCAAAACTTTTATGAATAATTTTATGACGTAATTTATGAATATCCCCCTTCCTCTTAGGTGCAAAGTAATTTGATGGAGAATAATATTATCATTTACTTAATATGCACTTACCTTGTCGGAGGCTCGTAGAAAACTGCACTCAAAATGCGTCATTTTCCGTCATTTGTATTCAATACCAAGTATTTTTAAACTAAAATAATATGAATGGAAGTGCATAATTAACACACGAATTAAATTAAAAGGAAGGAACTCACGTCAACGTTTATAACCTTCGTAACTGCGTAGAGTTTATAACTTGTACACACATTTCTGAGGAAATTTGACACAGGAATTTTATTTTTACGAAAATTATGCTTTTCGTTCGTAAACAAAAGCTTAGAAATAATTCGAGTTTTTTTCATATTTGCATTTTCACTTGAAATCAGAGGTTGATATATGTATGTAGGTTACACTTATCAGACATTAATCATTTTACTTCCCATAGTGTGGCGACAAAAGTGACCAGTGAAGAATTGATTGCGCATAACAATTATTTTAGTAACCATGCCTTTAGTCGTAACCAGGCCTTATACAACCGTTGTGTCAGTCTGATCGTCCGTCTATCTAACCATACAATTTAACCGATTGACTTAAAATTTTGAACACGGTTGTGGTAACAGGCTAGGGCTTGTGCAGTCAAGTCCTTTTGAAATTCCGCCAGTCTAATCCTAAGGATAATTACTAGTAAACCCTCTCTCAGATGGAAAGCTTCCTTACTTGCCAAAAATAGATTTTGTAGGATCCCACTAGTTCACCAAAACCCTTTTGATTACAATTTCTGCCCTGCCCCACACCCACTCATAATGGCCCAAAAACAAAATCACCATCTTTGAAGCTCGCCAAAAATCAAAATTTTATCAAATTTTGCAAATTCTTCTACAATTGTAGTCCCAGAAAGTTGTTTTATAATATCCGGCACCAAAATATTTGTTAATTTTCTAAGTTTTTCAGGAAATGTCAAAAAGTTTACTTTATTGTTATATCCAATACATACATAAATTAATGTAGCAACCCAGGTTCGCCAAAATGTTGCTGAAAAATTGCAACATGTTGTTTCTTCCGAGCTATCATTTTGCCACCTTGAGTTACAACAAATTTCGAAACATGGTTTCTGATAGAAAATTGCCTGGAGATTGCAATAAAAAATAGTACAACTCTCTAAAACAACTCAACTAATGCGGAATGCGTTGGACATAACAATTAGCGGTACTGGGTAGGTGTGTATGACGGACGCTATAAAGGATGAAGTAGCGCAGATTTTGGAGACGGGAATCAACATTTTTGAGCTTTTTATGAGAATTTTTGCATAATCACTTTAAGTGAGAAATCAGATAAATGAGTGGCTACCACTAGCTAATTGGGTGGCTAAAAAACCGACATGGTGAAGATTTCAGCTAGTGGGAGGTACCGCCAAAAATAGTGGGAACTTTCAGCTAATTAAGTGGTGCATTAAATTTAGGCCTATGAGACATTAATCAGAAAAAAAAGATTTACAAAGTAAACTCACGTCAAGAATATGTAAACTTTGTAATAAATATATCATGAAATAAGTTAAGCGTTTGTTAAATCAGAGGGGGCAATGAAATTTTGACACCGATATGTTTTCGCTCCTAATTTTCAGGCCGGGTAAACGTTTTAACTGTCGAAACAATACATGCTCCTCACCACAATTAACACGTTTAAAAACATTTTTAACATAAGTTATTTTTGATCAGCAATAAATATTATTTTTACAATTTATTAGCGTAACCTTAACATAAAGTTTCTCACTTTTTAAAGGTACGTATGTACCGCCATTTGTGTCTGTATTTTTGATTATCCGAATTTTCAGCAACCCTTGCCTCCTCACATCTTGCCCCCCAAGCCTTCACGAATTGCTTCAAGTCTTGACTGCTTACTTCGGCTTGGTCAAGTAATCCTGAGTTGGATAACTTCATCCAATTTTCAACACCAAAGTTGAACGCGGCATCGCGCAGATGCTAAAAAGTATACAAGACAAGTGTCTCAAGCGTTTTGTATACTTACTTACGTAATACGAAATAAGTCTGGAAATGTTACACTTAAAACAAAAATTTGTCAAATTAACACCGCCGGTGTCAATATATGACTTAACCGCCTTGGTTACAATTGTGATTCCGAGTGGTTATGACATTTTTCCGTCCGGTCATAACATTATTTCCGGTATCAAAATCATCATAACTCGGAATCAACATTGTAACCAGGGCGGTTAAGTCATATATTGACACCGGCGGTGTCGATTTGACAAATTTTTGTTTTGAGTGTACTGTACCGGTGCGCTGCACTTTCCAGCGGCCACATAAATTGTTAACACATTTTGCAACGCCAACTGCTTCTCCAAAACCGATTCGCATTTTCCCTTTAGACCAGTATCGCAATACATGTCAGCCAATTTTAGCAAATCTGTATGAAAAAAATACATGAATAATTTTTTTCCGGATGTACAAAGTGGTTAAAATTGCAAGCTACAATGGAGAATTTTTAGATGGGAAAACTTCGTAAATTTCCATTAGTTACCGAAATTTTGTCTCTAAAATTCAACATTTTAAGAATTTCCTCATCAGTTTTCCATCAGTTTTGGTAATAATTATAGTAATCTCAATCCAAAATCTTGTTAGTAATGGAGATTTAAGGAGTTTTCCCATTGAAAAATTTTCCATTGTATCGTGACTTTTAAACCACCCTGTACACAATGCTTTATATATTGTACCTAAAATTTTATCAATTTCTCCATCCGAGAAATATATTTTGTCCGTGTAAAGGTAATACAGCAATGCGTAGAAAGTGTCCCGTTTAATATCTTGCAATTCGATCGGGCTAAAAATTTGGTTACTTTTTGTAAATTCGAAGCAAATTGATTACATATAATATTAAGGCTAGTGCTCCGGACGGATTTTTTCGCGTAAAGAAGGATATATCCCATATTCGTATTAAATTACATACACCTTCACTGGAGTTAGGTACTTAAATTTTATTATGAGGTGTACCAGATGGGAGTATTTCTTCAAATCCAGTGCTAAATATTACTTAATTTTTTTCTCAACTTTTTGCTATGAAAAATATGCACGGCCTGAGCACTAGACTTGATTTGTTAATTTACAAAGCACCGACTTATCTAGTTGCTTCCAATCTTGTGAAAATTTCCGTGAAAAGTAATCACTTCGCAAGATAAGTATGGATTTGTGGACCCTGATGAGGTGTCCCTCAACTTTAAACGCTACGTCGGTCCCTGCTCCGTCCTTGAATTAAAATTTATTATTTTCTGCTTAGCATAGTTAAGGATGGGTTGGATATGTTTCTTTAGTAAATTCATAAGCATTAGCCTAGATATTAAAATACTTACTATCGCCGTCTGTAGAGTTTCTCTGATGGTGGGGGGATTTTCGGCACAGTTTGATGCACATAACGATTGATGCATAATTTGTGCGGTCCCCTTAAATTTGATGAAATTTAGGGGCGGAAAATTTGATAAATTCGCCTCCAGTTCTGTTGGATTACTACAAGTGATTCCTTTATGGATTTCCCCCCAAATAAAAATTTTGTCTGCAGACTTTGCGGAACTCTGGTTACTAAACGGCATGCAAGAAATGTCATCAAAGATGCCCAAAGTAGCTGCTATTTTGGTTGGGGTGGATAAATTTGTAGTGTTTCCAGTGCCCAATTGTCCCCTTCCATTATAACCGGAAGCATAGATCTCCCCAGATGTGGTCAGTAAAAGGGTGTGATATAACCCATTTGCAATCTATTGGATTATTTTATAATTTTAATTTCATAAACTTCCATAACTGTTCATTCTTGTAGTCACCTTCTTCACAGGTTTGTCAAAGGTTACTTTAGTTGGTAAATTTGTTCTTGTGGTATTTCCTAAGCACAATTCCCCATCATCATTAAGTCCCCACGAGTACACCTTAATATGAATGTTAATTATGAATTTAAATTTATCAATTTATCTATCATTAAAACCTTACGTCTCCAGACTCGCTCAAGGCGAACGAGCTGTAAAAGCTGCACGAAATCTGTTGGATTCTAATGTTCTGAAGATTCCCGGGAACTTTGCAAGGTTTGTCTTGATCCGTGGTATTGCCCAGGCCTAATTGGCCACATGCATTCCAACCCCATGAAAAAACCTCTGCCGTGTCCATAGTTAAACCGAGGGTGTGCCTGCCTCCCGCCGAAATTTTATCAATTTTTACCCCTTCGCCAAACTTAACTAATGTTGGGGTAGATATTGATGTGTCGTTCGTTCCAATCCCCAATCTGCCCTTTGAATTATCGCCCCACGTGAAAACTCGTCCATCTGCGGTTATCGCAAAACAGTGACTGCTCCCAATGGCGAACTCTATCCAAAGCAGCATGCACCTTAAATTGACCATACAATTTCTACGCAGGCACAAATTGTGCGACCTGATTATTCTTACCTTTCACCATTTGCCCACAAAGAGGGTCAATTTTGACAGGTATGGACGCCCGTGTTATGCTGCCGATACCAAGTGATCCACTATAACTGGTACCGAAGGCGTACACATCATCGTCTGTAGTCACCAGAAATCCTAATTCTTCGTGGACATGGGCGAGACGAACATTTAGCAAAAAACCGTCGCCGATGGTATTAAAAAGTTTCCATTTTCTCAGTTCCTTGAGGGGAATTGTTTTCTGGGTGAGTTGAAATGTACGTAATTCGACCAAGTCACCCATGCTTGCTCTCTTATTAAGAAATTTAATTAATTTAAACGCGATAAATAACGTATAAAATAATTCTGCACAATTGCAGTTAGAATGTTACAAATGGATGTACAAGTTTTGGCTTTATATCAAACCCAAATCAGTGATAAGGTCCGTGTTATCTTATCGCTGTCCAGCCTGACAAACAATCTCTTAAGTTTATTTCATATTGAAGAGCTTTTTGTGCAAAATGGGGATTAAAACATGCCGAAAAATTTATGATATTATCACAAGCCGCATATCGATTCGAGTCCGTTGGCAACTGGTCATCTGCATTCCAATCCCATGACAAAACATCCACCGTTTAAAGTATAAATATGTATGTAGGAGTGAAATAGAGTGTGTAAATTTATAACCAAGGATTACAAAATTCTAGCATAGCGATGCGAAAATTTGTTCAAAATCCTATCATGTACAGCATTGACCCGATTCGAATTTTCAATTCCCTGTTAGGTCATTAAATTAACTTATCGCATCTATTTTTACAGTTTACACTCATTAAGAATTTTATCCAGTAAATTTAGGTTTGAATTGTAACACTTCTGGAACCAGGTCGTTTTCCTCATTCAAATTTTCTAATCCAGGGCATGAATTACATATTACGTACTTTATTATTAGAGTAACGAGTGAGTATTTTTCGCAATTTTGCGATGTTTCCTTTTAAGGAAACATCTATCAATGCTCACGTTTGACAAGGTATGAGAACGTCCACATATTATTTACAACATTGTCTGGATTTTTGGAAATTTCAATGTTCACATTAAAAAATTAGGTATTAAAATTATGCAATATTTATACTTCCCTAACTGAGCTTAAAATATTTAAATGTACGTTAACCAAATTTGTGTGTTTAATGTATTTCTTTTTTCATTCATTATTTGCCCATACGAGGGGCCATTTTTATTTAGATGCCCTGACCATGAAGGAGCAATAAATTTGGGGTACTTGCCGTACTGCTTTTTAGTGTGGTCCCCTGCGAGGTCAGCACACTTGGTCCGCTAAATTTCAAATACTTTACCCCGGTTTTATGAAGGGTTTTCGAAAAAAGTCAAAACTGCTGATTTCACCTGGTCTATCGGCGAAATCTCCTCCCCCTGAGGTTTTTTTGAGAATGTCGAAATAGGTAGTAGTCACTAGAGGCCAGGGGTAGACTGTATGGGGGATGAAATAATTTTGGTGTTTTTTGGCTTGAAATGGCATCCTATTAACTTTTGGATTTGTGACCCGTAAAGTTGTAGTGAGCGTTTTCGCAAGCCACGCAACTTTTGTTTTTATCGTTTCTCCACATCGGCTTGGATTAATTTTTCGAAATCGCGGCATGATAAGCACCAGGTATCGCCGTTTTCGGAGCCACAACGTCCAGAAGCAGAAGTCCTTCTGACCCCCAAAAACGGAGGCCATTGCCAAAATGGCAATTTCTGCTTGCCTTTTCTCCTTTATGGATGAATACTTCCACTGCTTGCTCTCTGGCTTACTATTAGGACCAGAACAATCAACCCAGGTTTATTCTCCAGTGAGTAAATACAAAAAGAAGTACGGGTTTCCGTTTTGAAGGTCCAAATCCGCATAGCATACCTGGTATCAATTTTAGCGATTTGGTCTGTTTCGCGGTTTTTGGTCACATCTGACGACCTCCTGGAGTCAACCGTGACCGTGAAATTTTAAGCTATGAAGTCTGAGATACATATGGGTATATCTTTCACACCAACTAAAAAAGTTGGGCAAAATGACCCTCCTTCTAGGTCAGGCCATCTGAATAAAAATGGCCCCTCGTACATATTTGCTTGTTTCTTTTTGCATTAATTTAAATGTGGTTCAAAGTATTTATCATATTTTTCACTAAAACTCCACGACACTATGTCACAATCTGTTTAAATATCTAACATTGTTGATACCGAAGTCCACAATATCGAAAGTATCGAAAAATGGGTCGAAAAAATAGCCTCTGTATTGCAGTCCTACCTACATATTTATTTAAGCCTAAATTTAAATCAAATTTGCTTTCGTACTTCGCATATGTAGCTTAAGAAAATTCTAATAAAGTAAGTGATTGATTGATTATTTTTTCAACAAATGAAAGCTACATACATATATGAAATTTATACTTTGTCGAGATCCTTCTTACTCGAATAAATTAATAAATATTTAATTTAACCAGTTTAACTTGATAATTAATTCTGTCATAATTATGTGAACATTGTGCCGCGCTGAATTATCATAAACCTGGACGTGGACATTTTGATCGCCTTCATGAAAGCGAGCATAGTTTCTGCTGCCTTGTCGCACAACTGGAAGCAAAATTTACAAACATTCAATTTTGCAGTAATTCTGATAATTTTAAAATGAACACTTACGTAAACCTGGCAAATTTTGACCTCGTCCATTCCATTCATCGCAATGAGAAGTTGCTTGAACAGATCAATTTCGTCTTCAGTTAGATCAAAATCCGCTCTACTCCATAGACCGTAGTGCTTAATTTGCAAAGTTTTCAGCTCTGAAATTCAGTTTCGGACAAAAAATCAAAGCAGCAATGTATTCAGATACTTAATACTAGCGTATAAGCCCGCCTCTCGCGGGGCGAGCAAAAATTGCGGGGACAACGGAAGTGAAAGCAAATATTCCGCAATGAAAGTGAAAGTAAAGAAGTAGCCTTTCGAATTTTGCGCAAATTCTAAATTAACTAAATTCAAAAAATCAAATGTCTGAGGTCTCATTAAAATGTCAATAGCTTCCTACCTACCTCAGGGGGGTCACCCAAAATAACCACCATCAGATAACCACTAACAGATAATCACCACCAAACATTTAATTTTCTTAATTTATTTTATTTTTAATTTCACGCCATTCGAAACTTGACATTCTTTGCTTTCACTTCCGTTGCCGACAGACATTTTCAGCATATAAGATAGATAGAAGATAAATCCTATTGTATTAATTCGACCCGTTTTCTCGGGTCAATATTTGAAAACTTGCACCTCAAAACGGGTGAAAACGTCGAGCTAAATTTTTGTATCAGAGATATAATATTGCTAATTAGTGTTTCCGCGATTTGTGTATCCTACATGATCATACCCTACACTCTCTTCTTCTAAGTTTGTACTGATCTTCATAAATTTCTGCCAGGTTTAAAAAAACAACTAAAATGAAAAAGTAAATCAACGGTCCTATGTGAAATTGCATAAAACACTTTTACATAACTTATTGAATAATATTTATTGCATGGTAACAAACCATTTGGGGGTTCTTATTCACTCATGCCATACTAATACCTATGCTAAGGGCATCGAAGTGTGTTGTTGGCAAGTATGGAAGTTTCCTACTGACAGTAGAAAAATTATGTTAAGTAGCATTAAAATTATGTTAACTTGCTGTCTACATAATTCGACATTATTCAAAATGCCATTAGACAATACTGGTGTTATGAAAAAAAATTGTGTAATTTCAACGGGGACGTAAATCAACACCTTTAACATAAATATACTGGAATTATTTGAATATATAAACTTTTTGCAAAATGCTATTTATGTAATCAATAAATCTGACACTCACGAGTAAATAATTCCTTGCAGTCCAAAAGAATCTTGATAACATCCCCAATCTCTTCTGGGTACTCCATCTTGCTCACTTCCCTGCGAAAGTCCGTCCTGTAATATGTCTCCAACTGGAGCCTGACCAAATTCGGAAACGCTGTCTTCAATCCCTCCAAGAGTTGGGGATCGTGCAACTCGATAATCCTCAAATTCCGCAAGTTTGGCCAAATCTTTCTCGCATGGCAAATATTTTGCACAATTTCCTCCACATATCTCGCCTTTCGAATTGTTCCCCCAATCAGTAAAGTTTCCAGAGCGGGCATACTTTCCAACAAGTCGTCCGCACACTGAAAAATGTCGACCAGATCGTTCCGAAACAGCTGTAATTTCGACATCATTCTCGGTAACCGGAAGTTAGATTGGGTTGCGGTGTCGAAATTGTGTGGACCGCCCAGCACGTTGGATAGGCTTGTTTCCTGTTGCATATGAAATGAAAAGCTAAGCTTGACCAGCTGCCCGGCTAGTTGGTTCAGCATTCGCGAAATTGCGATAAGGTAATCGTCCCTCCGAGCGATGTCAGCGGGTGGAAGGGCATACACCTGTTTTAAAAATATGCCTTCATTTAGAATTCATTCAGTTGAACAAATTGAGAACACCATAGGCGCAGCCACGGATTTTTTCCAGGGTGGGCACTTTTCTGAAAAATATTATACACTCTAAGAAATTTTACCACCAGCGCGGTGGTCATATGTGACTCTACCGGCAGGTGGCAGAAGACCACCGGATGGTGGATGCCCATCACCAGCTCAGTGATGATCAATCACCGTGCGGTGGTGCAGTTGTCACCTTGCGGTGGTTGCAGCTGTCACCATTCCGGAAGAGTCACATATGACCACCGCGTGGTGGTAGTTATCACCAGGTTTCTTAGAGTGTACCTTTAAATAGTGCTTTCAACCTTACTAGGCAGAACTTTTGGGAGATACATATATTTAATCTGCTATTTGCATTTGCAGGCCTGTAAGTCAAATTATCTTTCTTCATTCTTGGCATTTTCTGTGTAAACATCGATTTTGAAATGTGTCATATTCCAAGGGTTTTTTTAAATGAAGATGTTTTTGGCTCTCAAGATAGAATGTTTCAGGTTTGCAAAATAAAGAGACTATATGTAGAATTTTGATTTTTCTCTTTCATAATATAGAAATACAATAAGTGCAAAATATTTAGTAAGTAGAAATTAAATATTTTTTTGCATTTATATGCATTTTATTTTTAAATTATGCAAAAATTGTAAAAAATTCAAAATATTCCCGTATTCTTCCAGATTTTAATGAGCGTTTTTAATTAGGAAGCGGTTTTAATTTAGAAATATCCCGAAATTCATTGTCAGGTTAATTTTTCTTAGGGCCTTAGGCAATTTTTTATCACGAACAACCAGTTTTTGAATATAGTACTCATTGGCTTGGTTAACTACGGAATACTTTCCCCCGATTTCGACAAATTTTTAGTCATTCCCTCACGGAAATATCTTTTGGCGATTTATTCAACTCAATTTAGTTTTGTCGCTTGCAGTTGATTTTCTGAATACATATTCAGCCGAGATCGTAATTTTTCAAGGCGCTATAAGTTTTAAAATTTTGACCCGATTTCAAAAATTAAATAATATGTTTGTTAAAAATTACTTACATGCAATCATAATAAACAAGGTCTCAAAAAATTAGAAATCTAGCAATAGAGGTCTCCCAACGCATTCCTCTAGATTTAGACCAAAAACTGGATCACTGGAACTCATTGGATCACAAATTTAATTAATACGAAATTTGCCAATGGCACTATCTGCCAAAGCGCAAGATTGGCGGAGATATTTACATAAAAAGAGGGTAAAACACGCCCAGGGTCGACAAATTTTATTATTTATGATTTAGTTTGAAGACTGAAGAAAACTAATCCCTAGAATCATGAAACTAATCCAGAGTATTTAATCTTCATCCTTAATCCAAGCTGTTTCTCCAAAATAACTAATCTCTGAAAACTGGCTAATTTTAATTCTAATCAAACAATCTGAAGAAATTAATCCTTAATCCCTAATCCGGAGAATAAAAAGCAGCAATTTAATGACGCAACTCTGCCAATAAAATTTAGAACTTGGGCGTCCAAAATCGAAAATTTTTAAAAACCGGTTTTTCGATTAATCGGATTTTGGAAAATTTTTAAAAACAGATTTTTCGGTTAATCGGATTTGGGAAAATTTTAAAAGCCAGTTTTTCGGTTAATCGGAGTTTGCAAAATTTTGCGAAATCGGTCTTCAATTAATCAGATTTTAGAAAATCTTACGAAACCGGTTTTCGATTCTTTGCAAAATCGGTTTTAGAGCAAATTTAGTGTTCAAATATAATATCCAAAAATTGAATTTAAAATTAATATCAAATGTAAACTTCGCAATAAGGGATTACAATGCGATGGTGTGGAATGTAACCCCTCGATTTGGTTTAAATTTTAAACTTACGTAGTCCAAGTCAATACAATCAACGTTTCTTGAGGATGTTTGTGTGATGGCTGGAATTTGACGAAATATTCGAGGTCAAAGTTGAAAAATGGGCGATTTTTACAAGCCGAAGAAGCAAACTCCTCTCCCATTCTGTTGGTAAAAAGAGACCACTCATTCCACGTATGGGAAAATCGTCCATTTTTCCACTTCGACCTCGAATATTTTGACAAATTCCGGCTATCTCACAAACATTCTCAAGAAACATTATTTTATGAACTTGGAGTACGTAATTTTAAAATATTAACCAAATTGGAAGTTTACACATCGTACCATCGCATTTTTAATAATTTTTTTCGCCGTTAGGTATTTGTCTCACTAATCCTAAGGAGGAGAGACCCTCTACATCAGTGATGGGCGGCCTCGGCCTCTTTGAGGCCATTTTTTGTGACCTCAGGCCTCGGCCTCGGCCCCTCTAAGGAATTTGAGGTCGAGGCCAGTGAGGCCTGAGGTCTACTCTTTGAAAATTAGAGAAGCCGAGGCCGACCTCGCTGAGGCCTGAGGTTCAAGACGTGAGGCCGAGGCCGAAATTATGAGGCCGAGGCCGGGAACTTTTCGGCGAGGTCGAGGCCAGTGAGGTCTGAGGCATATATTTTGAAAATTGGAGAGGCCGAGGCCGACCTAACTGAGGCTTAAGATTTTCGAGGTGAGGCCGAGGCCTAGTGAGGTCTTAGGCCTCACCATAGTTTTAATTGGAGAGGCCGAGGCCGACCTCGCTGAGGCCTGAGGTTCAAAGTGTGAGGCCGAGGCCTAGAGCTTTCTCGGAGAGGCCGAGGCCTAGAGCTTTCTCGGGGAGGCCGAGGCCTATGAGGTCTGAGGCCTACTCTTTGAAAATTGAAGAGGCCGAGGCCGACCTCACTGAGGCGCAAGATTTTCGAGGTGAGGACGAGGTCGAAATTGAGAGGTCGAGGCCTGGAGTTTTCTCGGTTAGGCCGAGGCCATGTGAGGTTGCCCATCACTGCTCTACACGCCGTTCTCAGATCTCGATGACTTTTGCATATGTAGTAGCCCTAGCTGAGTGAATGATAACCCTAGAGTGGTTTGGTGCCACGGCCACATTTGCTCCCGCCACACCCACTCAAGGGTGCCCAAAAAACGCTTTCACTCCAGCTTTCACTCACTCAAATCCACGCCAAAAATCCAATTTTACTCGGATTTTGAAATTTCTTTCACCATTATACTCCCAGATAGTTGCCCTCTTATACTCAACATCAAACTCAACTTGTTTGATGCTTATTAGGCAGGAATAATTTGTGTTGTTGATTACGACAACAATGCTCATTCAGAATTTTAAATTTTACAATATTAAAAATTTCAAGAAGTCGAGTTTGATGTTGGATATAAGAAAGCAACTATCTGGAAGTACAATGGTGAAAGAAATTTCAAAATACGAGTAAGATTTGATTTTTGGCGTGGATTTGAGCAAGTGAAAGCTGGAGTGAAAGAGATTTTGGGGCACTTTTGAGTGGATGTGGCGGGCGTAAATGTGGCCATGGCATCAAACCACTTCAGGGTTATCCTTCATCCATCAAGGACTATCAAATATCCAAAGGACATCGAGATCTAAGAGGGGCATGTAGAGGGTCTTTCCTAAGAAAAATACGCTTCCAAAAAATTTTAAACTTCGAAATTTTTATGCTAGATACTTCGGACTTTTAAAAGTTCCAAAAACGGGAAATTTTGCAAAGTTATTTTTCTAATTACTCCATGCATTTCGGAACAGACATGTTGTTAAATTTTTGAAATCAGGCTAAAATTGGTAAGTCTTGAAAACCTCTTGATTTTGGCAGAAAATCTCCATATTTAAAAATTCCGTCACAGACAAAAAACGCACATTAAAAAATCGCAAATATTTAGGTAAGCTATTTTCTGTTCCCGATCAATTTAAAATTAGTAGGTAGAGATAAATGCAACTTTTAATATTTGAATCTAAATGTTAGTTTGCGTTCTATAAACAATTCGATGGGGAAAACATTAGCCAATTCATTTACCATGTTTCACAATAAATTTCCTGAAAAATAATTTCGACTTTAGAAATTGGATTTGAAGACATTGACATGGGTTGAGTGAGTGACACTAAAAACCGACGAAGATATGCAGCATTAAAGCACTTTAGTTTGTTATGCAGAGTGTAAAGAATTTCTAATGGTACCAAAAAAATTTACACTGGGAGAACAAATAATTTTTCTAAATTAAAAATTTAATCCCAGGTAAAAACAACGCTTATTAAACCCTATAAGAATATTGGAGTTTTTGAGGCATTTGCTTTGAGTGCCCATCCTGCTATTTTCCACCCTAATGCCCACCCTGCCCACCCCGTGGCTGCGCCTATGGAGAACACAATTTATATGAAATTGGATGAATTTCGCAGAATACAAAAACAATAACACCTCTTTTCAAGTTACACCGGGATCGACTGGCGAGTTATAACTCGCCAGTCGATTTGACATATATGTCAAAAAATCAAGCCAGAAATTAGGAGTCAGGTGACACTTATCTATCCGTCGAATGGCCCCCTTGAAGAAAAATATTGGCGCAAAGTTTAATTTTTGACCAAATTCTCTCTTGTTTTTTCCTCCGCGGGGCAAAACCCAGGTAGGAGAGCGAGCGTTGACCCCCAATATTTTTCTTCAAAGGGGCCATTCAACGGAAAGATAAGTGTCACGTGACTCGTAATTTTTGGCTTGATTTTTTGACACAACTCGCTAGTCGATCCCGGTGTAGCTTGAAAAGAGGTTCGATTGCAAGTATTAAGTTGTGAAATATAAGAAAGTTGACTACGATCAATGGTCAATGCAAAAAATTCGCTCATATATAATATGTTGAACCAGTTTTTTTAAAATTATTCGATATGTGAATACGTACAATCGATTGTAATCGGATTATTTAGCGCAAGCTCTTGAGCGCTTATTTCCCTTGGGGGAGACTCCATTGTTGTGAACAGAGGTCGAAAAAATCCCTACTATTGCAGAAAATTTGTTACAAAATTTCAAAATTTGTGATAAACAAATGCATATTATTATTTTCGAAATATATAACTTG